TTGGCTTGGTGTTGTCCACACCACACTCAGCCAGTGAGCGAACGAGCCATCCCTATATAGGATCCGAACCCACAGCCTCGATGCTATCAGCACCGCACCCTCCCGAGTGAGCCACGGGGCCAGCCCAGTACTTCATTTTTTATGGCTGAATAATATTCCGTTTTATGGATATACCACATTTGTTTATCCATTCATTCGTTGATGAACGTTTAGGTTGTTTCTACCTTTTGACTATTGTGAATAGTGCTGCTATGAACATTTGTGTATGAGTACCTTCCAGTTCTTTTGGCTATATACCTCAGAGTAGAGTTACTATCTCATATTGTAATTCTCTGTTTAACTTTTTGAAAAACCCTCAAACTGTGTTCCACAGAGGCTATACCATGTTACGTTCCCACCAGAAATGTGTTAGGGTTCCAATTTCTCTACATCCTCAACAACAATACTGTTCTGTTTTTTTATTCTAGCTACCCTAGTAGTTATGAAGTGGTATCTCATTGTGGTTTTGATTTGTACTTCCCTGATGGCTAATGACATTGAATATCTTTTCATGTGCTATTGGCCGTTATTATATCCTCTTAGGAGAAATGTCTATCCAAGCCCTTTGCCCATTTTTTAATTGGGTTGTTTGTGTTTTTGTTGTTGCGTTAGTGTTCTTTAGATATTCTGGACAATAGACCCTCATCAGATACATGATTTGCAAATATTTTCTCCCATTCTGTTGGTTGTCTTTTCACTGTCTTGATAATGTCCTTTGATGCACAAAAGCTTTAAATTTTGACAAAGTCCCATGTACCTATATTTTTGTTGTTGCCCGTGCTTTCGTTGTCAAATCTGACCATGTCTTAAATTGCAGCCCCCGCCCAACCCCCTTCCCTGCTTTTTCTTTCTATAGCATTCACCATCTTACTATATAATATGGTATATATGGTGTACTATATGACATAGTATATAATGTAATATATGTGGTGTACTATGTAATGTAGTGTATATGACATACCATGTCACGTAGTATATGTGATGTGCTGTGTGACATAGCATATGTGACATTCTATATAATGTAGTATATAATGCAGTGTATGTGATGTATGAGGGGTCTTCAAAAAGTTCGTGGAAGGATTCACATTATCTTTATCCTTTAATTTAATTTTCTACAAACTTTGTGAAGTACCCTCATACTATACAAGGTAGTATATGTGACATACTATACAATGGAGTGTATGTAATGTGCTATATGATGTAGTATTTACAATGTACTGTATAACATCATATATATAACATTGTTATCTCATTTATTTGCTTCTGCTCCACAAGGGTGGAAATTTTTGTCTGTTTTACCCTCAGCCATGTCCCTAATGCCCAGAACAGTGCCTGGCACACAGTAGGCGCTGAATTAATATTTGTTCAATGAATGTCAGAGGTGACATAAAGGACAAATATCCACATTTTCCCTAGGAAGTCACCTCCCCCAGCTTTGGGACCTGTAGGGATTCCCTCCAGGCAGGAGAACCAAATGATTTCACCTACTGATGGGGTCAGGGAGACTTGAAGGGGGAGCATGCCAGAGGGTTCAGGATTGTTTCATCGCAGGCCAGGGGGCACGGGTCTATCTCTAAACATCCTTCTCCTTTCCTTTAAACAAGCTGGGAAGATTTTCCTTAATTCCCCATACTCCCTTTGAATACATGATTTTAGCCACCATCATAGCAAACTGCATAGTCCTCGCACTGGAACAACATCTACCCGATGACGACAAGACCCCGATGTCCGAACGACTGGTGAGTGATGACTGTCCTTTGCTTTAGTGGCACATTAATTTGGGGGAGGGGAGCAGGGAGCAGAGTGGGATCTCAGTCCTGGAACCGTGAGCCCTATCTTGGGAAGCAAAATTTTCATGATCCCCAAGAGAGACAGGTGCTCACATGGTCAATGAAAACATCCTTTTGGCAACAATATATCGTACAATTTGAAACAGCTAGTAGAGAGGATTTTGAGTGTTCCCAACACAAAGAAATGACAAACGTTTGAGGTGATGGATGTGCTTATTACCCTGATATGAGGACTACACACTGCATGTACATGTACCCCAATATCACATTGTACCCCGTAAATACATACCATTATCATAGGTCAATTAAGAGTAAATAAATAACTCAGAGACAGAAGTAGATTAGAGGTTACCAGAAACTGGGGGAAAGAATAATAGTAAATTAATAGGAAGTTAATAGAGTTTTGCTTAGGATGACGAAAGAGTTTTGAAAATAGAGGTAATGGCTATACAGCATTGTGACTGTAGCTAATTCCACAGAATTGTATGTTTAAAAATGGTTAAAGTGGCAAGTTTTTTTTTCCTTTTTGTCTTTTTTACTGACCGGTAACGGGATCGCAACCCTCGGTGTTGCGCCCGCACCGCACTCAGCCAGTGAGCGGGAACCGGTCTCCACATGGGATCTGAACCCTCAGCGGGAGCGCCGCTGCACTCCCAAGCGGCGCACTCTCCAGTGCGCCACCGGGCTGGCCCTAAAGTGGCAAATTTTATGTTATATATATTTTGCCACAATAAAATCATTAAAAATAATTTTTTTAATTCTTGTGAAAAACGTTGACCATATACAAAAATGGAGATACCAGTACAGTGAGCCCCCCATGAACCCATCCACCAGATCCAACAATTGTCAGGATTTTGCTACATTCCTTTCCTCTGTCCTTTTTTATTTCCGTGGTTTGTCTTTCTTGGCAGAAGTATTTTAAGGCACATCCCAGACAACATGTCAATTCACCGCCACATACTTAAGGCTGCCTCACTGAAAATACAGATTTTTTTACACTGCCACAGAGACATTATCACACCCAGCACAATTAACAATTGGTTCTTCAGAATCATCTAAGACCCAGTTGATGTTCAAATTTCCGTGATTGTCTCAGAAATGTCATTTTACAGTTGGTTTGTTCAAACCAAGATCCAAACATGGTCTGGATTTTGTTGGGTTCATCTAAAGCAATATTTTTCCGCATGCTATTGACTTATTGGAGAAATCAGTCTGGTTGCCCTAAGGAGTGTCCCACATTCTGGTTTTTTTGTTTTGTTTTAAAGATGACCAGTAAGGGGATCTTAACCCTTGACTTGGTGTTGTCAGCACCACGCTCTCCCAAGTGAGCAAACTGGCCATCCTTATATAGGAATCCAAACCCGTGGCCTTGGTGTTACTAACACCACACTCTCCCAAGTGAGAAAACTGGCCATCCTTATATAGGAATCCAAACCCGTGGCCTTGGTGTTACTAACACCACACTCTCCCAAGTGAGCCACGGGCCGGCCCCCACATTCTGGTTTTTGATTTGTTGCATCTTTATGATGTCATTTAGCTTGCTTCTCCATCCCCTGGGTTTCTGATACATGGACATCAGCTCCAGAGGACATTCAAAATCCAGTTGCTCATTTGATGAAACCCTACAGGGCTATAAATGAGCACTAAGGTCCCTCCTGATCCCCGCCCCCCCCCGGTAACCTGCAACTGGGTTTCTTTCCAGTCATTTGGACAGAGAAGTGAGAGAGGCTTCTCTTTTCTATCACCTTTCCAAGGGATAGCTCAAGGGTGAGGAGAAGGTGATGTCCAAATCCACTTATTGCAAACCCACAAATTATTGGTGGTCTCAAGACTTTTTAAAATATTAATAGTTACGTATTATAGTGTGTATTTTAATAAATATAACTAGCCTAGCAAACCTATGATTTCACAATATTTTGGGGTTTTGCTTAAGATGGAGCTGAGTAAAAAGCATTCATTGAACGAATAGCAAGCAAATAGTAGTACCAATGGCAAGCTGATATGGGGGGAAAAAACATAAAGGTAGGATGCAAATGACTGAAGCTTGAGAAGGATTGCTATAACAGATGGGAAAATGTCCATGCAGGAGTTCTGATGGAGCAAATAGGATAGAAAATCAGCTGGAAGCCAGAACCAGCAGGAGGTTCTGCAGAGGGACTGGAGGTGGGGGTCCCAGCTTTTTACCAGCCAGTGCAGAAATATTATTCTAATACTTTGGCAACCTGAATGGCTGTGCTGGTACATACCAGCTGAGAATCATCCGCGGGGGTCAGATTTCAGAGTGAGGTTGGGGCATGGGGTTAACCTCGAAGGTCTTGAATGCTATAAGTGACAAGTAAACACTCTAAACCAGTGCTTTCTGGTAGAACTTCCTGTGAGGAAGAAATGTTTTACATCTTTGCAGCCCAGTATGGTAACCACTTGAACTGCAGCTAGTGTGACTATAGAACTGCATTTTTAATTTTATTTCACTTAAATTTAAAAAGCCACATGTGGCCAGTGGCTGCTGTGTTGTACAAACAGGTTCAAACGAACAATTCTGCTTGGCTGAGTGGTATGTGAGATTGGCCAAAAGGAAAGAAGAAGCTTCTCCAAGCTTCTGCTTCCCTTGCAAAANGCTGGTACATACCAGCTGAGAATCATCCGCGGGGGTCAGATTTCAGAGTGAGGTTGGGGCACGGGGTCAAACCTCAAAGGTCTTGAATGCTATAAGTGACAAGTAAACACTCTAAACCAGTGCTTTCTGGTAGAACTTTCTGCAAGAAAGAAATGTTTTACATCTGTGCTGCCCAGTATGGTAGCCACTTGAACTGCAGCTAGTGTGACTATAGAACTGCATTTTTAATTTTATTTCACTTAAATTTAAAAAGCCACATGTGGCCAGTGGCTGCTGTGTTGTACAAACAGGTTCAAACGAACAATTCTGCTTGGCCAAGTGGTATATGTGAGATTGGCCAAAAGGAAAGAAGAAGCTTCTCCAAGCTTCTGCTTCCCTTGCAAAAGCCTTCAGATGAGGGAACTCCAGCAAGATGCAGTGAGGGGCAGTGAGCACTGTTGGGTTGGGGAGAAGTGAGAGAAAGGTGGGTGCAGATCTCCAGGTGGGCTGGTTCCCTGGTCATGCCACCCTTTGCCCAGCCCAAGATGCTGACCTTGCCTTTTCTCCCTTCCAGGATGACACAGAACCATACTTCATTGGAATTTTTTGTTTCGAGGCTGGAATTAAAATCATCGCCCTTGGGTTTGCCTTCCACAAAGGCTCTTACTTGAGGAATGGCTGGAATGTGATGGACTTTGTAGTGGTGCTAACAGGGTAAGTGACGTGTGCTGTGTTCTTTAGATTGACCTCACTGAGGGATTCCTAGGCTTTGGAAATGTGATGATTGGTGTGGTCCAGGCTGGGCTCTGGAAAGCTGAGCCCCCATGTTCTCTTTAACTTGCATCTGCCTTCTTCACTCTCCACCCCCCATTTCCATATCTCAGCTGTATATTACAGCAGATGCTTTCTGTTCCAATTAAAATAATAGCTTATTATAGTTGGCTGCTTCCAAAGTGCTTTATGTGCATTCTCTCATTTAATCCTCACAACAACCCAATAAATTAGGAAATATTAAAATTCCCATCTGACCACTGTGGAATCTGAAACAACAGAGAATAACTTGCTTAAAAGATCACCCAGCTAGTAAGTAATGGAGCTAGAATTTGAATGGAAGATTATGTAAATCCAGAACTCAAGTTTTTAATTATTGTGCATGCATAGGTCTCTTGTTTTGCTTGGAGATATCTTCCTTTTATTTCCAGTTGGTGAATATTTGTTGAGAACATCTGGGTGCAAGGGGTTGTGATTATGACTATGGAGAAAGCCAGTCTAAATAAGGTGTAGTCACTGTCTTCAAGGAGTTTTCAGATCTGTACACAATGAGCCATATTTAAAATGTGTATATACTTTCCTCCAAGGACCCTGTATAAGATAACACTAACTGCTATAACAAAAGATCCAAAACTAGGAAATGACTTAAACACAACAGAAGTTTATTTCTCACTCAATGAAAGTTCTAAACAGTTGTTCCTAGTTGGCAGGGCTTCTCTCCTCCAAACAATGATTGAGGGACCCAGGTTCTTGCCATATTGTGGCTCCTCATTGTCAACCCACAGCTTACAAGAACTCCATGCTTGTCTGCATCAAACCATAGAAGAGAAATGGGCATGGAAGATGAGGCCAGAGGGGACCTGGCCCATACCCATCCCATTTTTATTCCACTGGCTAGAACTCAGTCATATGACCACACATCACTGCAGGGGGAGCCAGAGAATATCAGGTTGTGCTTAGAAGGAAAAGGAAGTGGATTTTGGTGAACAGAGGCAGCCAGTCTCTGTTAGGGACTCCAAAGACACAGTATGGATATCACCATCTTGTACCAATTGCTGCCTCCCCTTCTGCGCACCCTCTGCTCCCCTCTGAGCTGAGTATGGCTGTTTTCTTCTAAGACCCCTCTCCATTGGGACACCTTCCTCTTAGTTCTCCTCTATGCAATCACAGTTCTACAGGCTTCATAGCTGCTCCAGATCCTGTCTCCCTTGGTGGGTGTCATGGGTTGTAGCACCCATGCTGCATTGGCTAGGCTCTTGCAATTCAGACTCTGAACATATTTGCTGTTTCAGAGAAGCATTGCATCTCACAAAAAGAGCTGTTGTATCAGGCTGTTGCTGTTAGAGGCATTCAGATGTGAGTGGCCTGTAGTGAGGGCTCTGGGCTAGCTCTTGTGGGCTTGGGTGTTCACTGAGGGACCCCTGTTGGCTGTGCCCACCATCCTGTGGCTTGGGACCTTGGCAGATTCCAGAGACATGTCATGGTATTGAGTAGTTTTCTCTTACCTTGCTAGGAAACTCATCTGTGAAACAGTCTGGTGGCTAACTTTGTTATTAAAAAAATTATAATAAAAATATTCAGACATCCAAAAAGAAGTAGAGAATAGTATAGTAAACACCTGTGTATGCATTCATTCATTCAGTGAATATTAGTTGTATACCTACTATGTGTCAGGCCCTGTTCTAAGCTCTGAGACACAGCAGTAAACAAAACAATAAAGTCCCTGCTCTCGTGGAGCTGATAGTCTAGTGGTAGAGACAGACAAAATGAATGAATGAATGAATGAAATATCTAATGTGTTATATGGTGGTGAGGGCTACAGAAAAAAAATTAAGCAGGGTAGGAATGGAATGTGTTATGGGCAGAGGGGCTGGATGCTGGGGAAGATTTCATTGGGAAGGTGACATCTGAATGAAGACCTAAGGAGGTGAGTTAATGAGCCATAAGCATAGCTGGGGGAGGAGACTGCCAGGCAGAGGGACAGCAAGTGCAAAGGCCCTGAGTCTGGATTGTGTCTGGCCTGTTGGTGAACAGTAAAGAGGCCAGGGTGGCTGGAGTGAGTGATGGGAAAAGCTGAGGGGAGGGAGGAAATGGAGCAACCTACAATGAAAGTGAAGCTTCTTTAATCCCTATGTTCTCCCTCCATGGACCCATTCCTTTCACTTCCCCCATCTAAAAGCACTTTCCTGAGTTTTGTGTTTATCATTTCTATTTATGTATTCACACTTTGACTACATAAGTGTAGAAGACATATCTGGTACTGTTTTGCAAGCTTAAAGTTTCTTTATAAATATTTTCTTCTACAGCTTGTCTTTTGCACTCAACATGAGATTAATCTGATTAACAAGAATAATTCTCGTTTATCCATTTTCATTGCTGTATAGTATTCTGTGTATGAATATTCTACCATGTATTTATTCATTTGGATTGTTTTTCAGCTTTGGGGCTATTTTGAACCAAGCTGCCCCTTGTTTCTTGTGAGTGAGTTTCTCTAGGGCATATACCCAGGAGTGGAATTGCTGAGTTGTGTACTATTTGCATCCTCAGCTTCACTAGCTATTGCCAAATTACTTTCTGCAAATTGGTTGCACCAATTTATGCTCCCCAGGGGCTGACTTTTGCTGGCAGGATCTGGGTTGACCTTGCTGGCAGGAAGGAGCCTTAGAAACCCCTGGTTGTTTTATAACATGGTTCTTGAAACACCTAGAGAAGCTTCTATCCTGTTTAGCAGGTAATGAGTCTCAATAAGTGATCATTAAGTTGAAGGGAAGCCATTCAATAGGTCAACCTGACACTTGGATGTTTGTATATACTCCCTGCTTACAACAAGGTGGTCTTTCTTCTAGTTTACTGGTAGCTGATGAGCTTCTAGAGGAGAAATTCTTCATCTGGGACAGATAGCTCCTAAAGGTTGGGATTAATGAACCGACTGAAATTGTATGCAATAATTGAGTTTATGTATATTTTTGTGGTCTGTAGTTTTCATTAGATTCTCAGGGGATTTTGACCCTAAAACCATGAGGAGCTGCTATTCTATATTCTATTCCTTTCTTATCCCTTCTCCTTTTCTTTCTCATTTATTCTAAATTCCCTTCTCTTGCTTTTCTCCTTCTTATTTCTCCAGTAATCAGTCACCCTTACTTACTGCCTCGAGGTTCTATCTCCTGCAAACCAGGCACATAGCTCAAATTTCATTGCTTCAAATTCCAAGAGACAGTTTAGTCTCCTGTCGGGTTATAAGCTTAGAACAGAGAGGAGAAACTTAAAGTTCTGCAGACCTAGCCTTCTGCTCAATGTCAGTGATGGGCAAGTGCTGTGAACATTTCCTTCTGAGCTTTGGGGGGAGGGGACTAGAGTGTGTTAGTTGATGTTGAGTCAGGGTTGATTTTAATGAGCACTTAATGGCTTACATTCCTAAGCAAACCACAGCATCAAAACATTATTGGTCATGGACTACCAAGGTTTTTGCCATTTTCTTGCATGAAGTTTGGTGGAAAAGATCTCACCTGTGGGTTTGTGCTTATTCTTTGTAGCTCAAAGACTCAGAGAAATTTTAACTGTGTAATATTATCAAACCCATTTAAAGCATATTTCCATCATATTTGGAGTTCTGATCACTAAACTGAAAATATGTAAGAGGAAGATTTCAGAAGCTTGGCTATATTTCTTTTTTTATTTTATTTTTTATTTTTTTTATTTTTTAGTATTTAGCATATTCATTGTTACAAATCATACTTACTCTTTATGCTCCTTATCCAATCTCTCCCCTTTCCTCTCCCCCCTTCCCTTCCCTCCCCCCCTCTAATAACCGTAGATTTGTTCTCTCCATCTGATAGATTAACTGTTCCTCTGTTGGTTTGTTGGCTTGGCTATATTTCTGAGATGACAGAGCTTTTACTGTAATGCTCAAATATATATAAACATCTAACAGATCAATTGACCCAACTGTGCACATTAAGAAAAGAGACTGTGAACATCAACGAAGTAGGGATAAAGACAACAGTTTTTTCTATTCACGGGCCTAGCACATGTAGGTGCTCAGTAAAATAAATGGTTGTTAAGCTGGAAAGTGATAACACTTCTGCTAATGAGTGTTCTGGAAAATTGGCTAAGCTTTTTAAGGAGATGGGGACCATCCCATTGATAGATAGTTATAGTCCAGAAGTCAGTGGCAGACACCTTGAACATCAGATGAGACCCGGGACAGATGAGTTCTGGGTCCCTGACAGCTCTGACGTTTTGTGACTCTGAAAATAAAGGTTCTTTTTTGGAAGGTCCTATATACTGTCCCAGGCTTTGGGTAGTTTTGTTGAAGATCAGAAAAGACCCAAGTACTCAGGGACCAGCAGGGAAGGATATTGGTTTTGGTCCTTGTAACGTCATGAAATTTTAGGTCTGAATGGACTGTCAGGTCCAACCTCTTTGTTTTACTCACAAGAGAGCTAAGACACAGAGAGGCTAAGTAATTTGCCCAAAGTCATGCTGAGATGGTGCCACATCAGGGATCTTCCAGAATAAAAGTTGTCTTCATGTCAAGGGCCTGGAACACCAGTTTGGGAGGCAATGGGAGTGGTAAAAATGATTAATGTCACCCCTCAGGTTCTTCCACCAGAGCCCAGACTTCTGTTCCTTCCTCCTGCCCCTGGATAAATAGCCTGTGGCCTCTTTCCAGAAATATAAATGGGGAGCCTCAGAAAGCAATTTCAATACCCCTCAAGCCCAGAGGGGTCAAATGACTTGA